GCGGGGGTCCCGTCCGGGTGCCGAGAATATTAACCTCCCACGGCCGCCCGAGCGGCGCCGGCAGCGGCAGCCCGGGCCGCGCCCGGGCCAGGGCTCATTCAGTGACCGGGCGGGGCTGCCGCGGTACGGTCACGGGCCCGGAGGCTCACTGAGTTAGAAGGCCCCGTGGCCGGCCCGCACTGCCGTCACCGTATCATCGGATTCATCGCCGGGGGCCGCCGGGCCGGCTCAGTCGGATCGGCGTGCCCCCGGCGCCGCGGCGGGCGGGCGGGCCGCGGCGGTGCTACAAACTCGGTACCTGAGACTCCCGAGCCACTGATCCTCTGGGGGTCATGTCAATGCAGGGTGGTAAGATCTTGCTGTATATGGTGGGTACTTTCGGTATTTGCAGTAGGTAGCCTAGTAGGGGTCAGCTGAATGCCCACGGCCACCAACAGGGGTCACGGTGCGGGACCGGATCTGCACGGTAACAGTGATGTGAGGGCTAGTAGGCCCGGTGGGTATCAGGATGTGATTGAGGGGGTGGGGGTGGTAGAAAAATGGGGCGGAGAGGAAGTGCGGGCCGACAATTGCCACTCAGTATTGACTCAGAGGTGGGGTAGGGTGATGAGTACGCGGCTACGCTATGGAGAATATGGGGTACTCAGAGCTGAATTAAGGGGTACTTGCAAGTTGAATCTTTTTGAGGTGGGTGGGGTAATTGTTCAGAGGAGATACATCAAATACCGAGGGTGGGGTGATTTCATGAATCTGAAGGGGGTGGGGTGGTGGAATGTCCCTGACAAAGATTTCATCCGTTATGCATGGCGAGGGAGCAGGGAGGAGGGAGGAGGGAGGACTCCGGAGGGAAGGAGGAGGCAGAGGCGAGGAGAGGTTCGGAGAAAGCAAGAGCGGAGAGAAGGAAGGAGCACAGGAGCACAGGAGAGAGGAGCAGAGGTCACAATGAGAGAATAGAACATCTGAGAGGGGATAGAAGATGTAAGAAATCAAAGGACTGATGATGATCAGTCCTATCTTCTCAGCATGAAAGAGAGAGAGAGAGAGAGAGAGAGAGAGAGAGGAAGAGGGATGGATCTTTAAAGGTCAAAGTCTCAAGAGGAAAACAATGGAGCGAAGGAGGGGAGAGAAATGGAACAGAAGAAAGGGGGCAGAAGAAAGGTGGTCATGGAGACGTGTGGTATGTGGAAGGCAGACAGGAGAATATGGTCATTCAGGACAGAAGTGATGGGAAAGAAGGGCTACCATCACAGATGCAGTTTTAGATCGGAAGTGCATTGCTTGCAATGCAGGTAGGAAAGATGATGCTCCAAGGGTGAGGAGGCTCGTCGTGACCGTTTTCCAAGGCGAGAGTGGGGGAGGACTGAGAAGGAGAGTGTTGAGAAGTAGAGCGGTGGGGCAACGAAGAGGAGACAGAGACAGAGACAGAGACAGTGAGATTGGATCGGGGTCTCATGTTAAGGAGGATAAACATCAAAACTGAGCTGAGCTGAGCTGAGGGTCATGCACCAACACTTGACATTATAACGTGCGAGTTTGCAGGAGGAGATGAAACTGTAGCTGACCCTACTCGAGTCCCCGCGCCAGCAAAGAACCTCTCCTCCTCACCGTCATGTCCTCAACTACATGGAGCCTGATCATCGCGAGGGTCGACAGGATGGTCGACTTCGTCGAAGACCTCCCCATGGTCCCTTCAGCTCCCATCGTCGCTTCCACTCTCCGCAAGTGCCTCGCATCCCTCTCCAAGTCACCAGCCATCCCCAACAGCACGCTTGCATGCCAGTCGAGCCACGACAAGGCGGAGGTGAGTTTCCAGCTCTCTCCCATCCATGAGGAGGACGACCAGGACGTTGTCACCCCCAGGATCTTCACTGAGTTCTCCAACGCTCTCTGCCTCCCCGTGATCTCCCGGCTCGACGAGTTCATGAACAGCCCTGACTCCACAGGCAGCGAGCGGAACGCGTCAACCACTGACAGCGACGAGGCAGCCCACGAGTCTGAGGAGGCTACCAGCCAGACGTCTCCGTCTTGGTCTGATGAGCACGATGCGACCAAGGTGACCTTTAAGTTCCTCCGTCAGAGCAAGATATTCTCGCGTCTCAGCAACCTGGAGCTGCAGAACTTCATTGTCTGCTGCTCCCTCCAACGATTCTGTCGGGGCGAGAAGATCTCGTTCCCCATTGATTGGAAGAGGCCCGCCACCGCCATGGTGATCGAGGGCTACGTAGCCAACGGGCAGGGGAAGCCCAGCAAGTTCGTAGCTGGAGATGTCTTCGGGGAGAAGGCAGCAAAGGGAGTGCTAGCAGCGGAGGGCGGCAGCGACACTCTGATCTGTTTCTTTGACCCCTCCAGCCAGTCTCTTCGTCCATTTCAGAGTCAGCTGGACAGGAGCTGCACGTGGCTGAGCCCGCAGGCGGCAAGGGAGGCTTCGCCTAAGGCACAGTGGTCAGTCAAGATCGACGTGTCCACCAAGCTGGTAACTTGCTGTTGACCCCGCAAACTTGCTGAGTCGACCTACAGGATCCAGATCTGGACACATCGGAAGTCCTCGCTACTCCTCGTCGAGATTCCTCCGCTCAAGATTCTCCCCCAGCTGGTGTCGGGCTGTTGATCAGCAGCAGCGACAAGGGCCCAGCAATCGACCGCATCGTGGCAGGGAGCCCAGCATGGCATTGCAAGAAGTTGGACGTTGGAGATGTCGTTTTACGCATTGACGATGAAGAAGTGGCGAACTGTACAGTAGACACGATACACGACAAGCTTGAAGGAACCGACGGCTCTCAAGTCAGCTTGACTGTACGGAAGGCTGAAGGTCAGGAAGCAAGCATTCCCCTGCTTCGGCAGCACACGGCATCTGTTCCAATCCTCTTTTCTCGGAGAGGGGAGCGGATTGTAGTAGCACAGACACAGCAGAGGCATCTGTCCAACCAGCTTATCCCTGGCGATCAGATTCTTGCTGTTGACAGCATCCCCTTGCACGACCTCTCCTCCAGTGACATCCTGGGGCTCTTGAACGGGCCTGTGGGGTCTACAGTGATCCTGGACGTGAGGAAAGGGTCTTTAGGGTTCTCCTCCTCCAAGCGCGTCGTCTTGCGGAGGACGGAGGCAATCAACATCCGCGATCATCGGTCCTCGTCAAGGTATGTGGAACCTCTGCTCCTACCTCGCGTCTGATCCTGTGCCATCAGCCCTGGCTTTACTCCGAGGTCCATCAGCTTCAGCCCTCGCTCCCCAACCCTTGCAAGCGCTCTCAAGTCACCTAAGGCCTTGTTCGAATTCCGATGAGAGTCGCAGGGCATTGTTTTCAAGTATTCACATCATGTACAAGGTCCAACATAGACTTAGTCCTCCTCCGAATCTCCTCCCCACATCTCCTCCAGCCTCCCAGCCACCAGCTCCAAGGAATCGGACATTCTGCTTCCCCTGGAGCTCTGTATGCTACAGTCCACATCTTCTTGCGGCAACTTCAACGTCTGACCATGCTCCCTGCTCCCTTCCTTGCGATCTCGCGCTGCCTCCAGAGCCTCTACCTTTTCAGCAATCACTCCAATGGTCCTCTCCAAAGACTTGGTCCACTCGTCATCGGACGAGTCAAGCTCGTCTCCCCTCCCCTGTTCTCGTTGTTGACGGTCCAGCCTTGCAGTAATCAGCTCCTGGTGAGCCCTTAGCAGCGCAACGTTCTGTCCAGCACACCTCAAACCGTGTCACCCACACAAGGTAGACAAAAACCTGCCGCCGAAACATGCTCCTCATCTCCCGAATGGCGTCACATGCCTCCTTGACTGTGAGCGCGCGGCAAGCCGGATCCTCCTCCCTCGATCCGGCCAAGTTCACCCACGGGTCGTCGAGCAGACAGTCGACCCTCTTCAGCTGCGTGCGGAACGGTCGACGTTTGGCTGCGCTGCGCGCGAAGTCACCGAGCAAGTCTTCGCAGCTCCTCTGCCGGGGGATTCCTGAACGCAAGTTGTCAAGATCACCCACTATGGAACTTTTGAGAGCTCACCTCGTACTGTCCCCTTGCTGGCATTCAGCTCGTCTGACAGGCTTCTGATCTCTCTTGCAAGCTTACACGGCAGTGAGATGGAGAAATTTGAGTCGATAGACTGACCTCGGCTGGCAAGGTAGAACGCAGTTGTCTCGATATTTGATCGTGCTTGACATACTTTCCGTCGTCATTCCACTGTGATGAAGCAGTTCAGTCGCATCAAGAGACTTGTGCTGTAGAAACTCCTCACCTCTTCACTTTGAACTTTTCTGCGGATGAAGATCTTCGATTCATGTTCTTGATTGACCTCGTAACCCATTGCCACATCATCGTTTCTCGCTCCATGGCCATCATAGCTTGCAGGATCCCGGTTCCTTGCAGGATCAGGGATCACTGGTTGCGAGGTCTCCTACGAATCGACAAATTAGAACAACGACGGTCGAGTGACTTGCCGCTAACCTGCAAACTTTCGCTGGACACGGAGCAGCTGTGCTGGCCAAGATCGGACCTCTCGAAGATGAGGGAAGTATGGGATCTCGCGTCGTAGATCCATCCCGGTACATTCCTCGCCTCTCGCAGGTCGAAGATCTGAACACAATGTCACTGTACCCCATCTTAAAGATGAAGAGGGAGGTAAGGACGTGAGCTGGTCGGGAGGAGACGTGAGAGGAGGCGTGAGGGGAGGAGAGTCAGCAAGTTGGGGATAAAGCCAGAAGGAGAGAAAAGAGACATCTGGGGCATAGAGACAAGGTTAACGGGAAGCAAATGAATGACCACAACAGCCATGACAGGATGGTTCAGCATGGAGACAAAGAAATCAGGAAGTGAGGGAGGAAGACAATAAGGGCAAGGGGCTCAGGAGAGGGATTCAAGGGAGGGAGAATGTGTCTTGGGGGGATATTTCACGCGTATCGCCGTGGTATCGTCGAGACATCGCTGGAGTTCATTGGAAGATTGAAGGCAAGGGTTGCAGCCTCTGGCATAGATCTCCTTGAGGCTGCTCTCAAGCCCCAGCACGTTGACCAGGGCCAGGAACGTCTCCGATCCTAGGTCGTTATGGGACACGGCGATGACTCTGACGCCTCCCCCGTGGGCTGACGGTTGCGCCTCCTTCCTGAGGCTGTTCTCCCACTTCAGCAGAGTCTGCCGCTCAGCTTGAACCCTCAGGATCTCCATGAGTTTCCTCCCCGACACGTCCGTGATGCCAGTCCGGCAGAGCTGGAGCCGGGCGATCTTGGGGTGATCTTGCAGTGAGGGCAGCACGGCGAGGAGGCCTTTGTCTCCGATCTCAGAGTCATTGAAGCAGACGGTGGCCAGGCTCTTGTTGCACGACAGCCCTTGGGCCAGCTCCACCATGCTTGGCGACGGGATCTCGAGCCCTACCAGCTCGAGGACCTGCAGGTTGTGCATGGCGAGCGACTTGTTGATGGTCTTCATCAACTTCATGGCGGCGACCGGCACGATCTCCGGCTGCTCCACGGCAGTCAGAACGTTCTTCTCTCTGATCTCGCACTTCCTCCGGTAGAACAGGGTGAGCGGGCCGTTCCGCTCCACCGTAACCACGAGGCTCATCGACGTCGCCCCTCCTCGCTCCACCACGCTGCTCACTGCCTCCACAGCAGGGACAAGGTCACAAGGATGCATGAAGAGCTGCAGCCTCGACGCCTCCCTGTCCCATCCCGGGATCTTCAGCTCCTGCGGAGTCTTGTAGAATGCCGAGACCAGCTTCTTGACCTGCACGAAGTTCGCCCTGTCCGTTAGCTCTCGGGCGGCAGCTGAGCTCGAGGCTGTCGAGGGCCTGAAAACAAAGTCGATCAGAGGAGTCAGACCAAGAGAGGGCGACGAGATGAAGAAAGGATGTTGCTACGGTAGAATGCAGCTTCACCTTGGCGACGTGGTAGCCACTGGCTTCACCGTCCGCTTGCTGGAGCCCGACGGGTTCCTGTTCACCTTCTTCATGGTGTCGGCAGCACCAGCTCGAGCTAGGTAGAAGAAGAGATGTTAACATCAGAGAGGGAGGGAGGGAGAGAGCGAGCAAGGTGGGAGGGGTGAGAGGGAGAGGAGACGCGAGAAAAAGGGCATAAATGGATTGTTGGATGGAGCGGGGGCGGGAGGGAGGGAGGATGGAGGGAGGTAGTTAGGTAAATAGGTAGGTAGGGAGGAAGAGAAGGGAGCAAAGATTGCCATCTACCTGACTATGATGATGGGAGACACATGTCTGGTGCCCAGGTCAGCGCATCTCTCCTTTGCTGTCCCTCCTCGAGCCTAAGGAGAGTAAAGGAGTCACGCAGGAGCAACATCCGCTGCTAGGTTGAACTTATGATCTCTACGATATAGATGCAGCGTCTTGCTGACTTTGACAGGCATACACTAGACCGTGCGCAAGAGATCTGATCCGCAAGACTACTCTGCGATTCAAGCTCCTGTTACCTCCTCTCCACTAGTCATTCATCGATGCGGTCTTATCCTCCTGTCATGGCATCGCACTGTACTGCTTCCTCTGTCCTCAGCATATCTAGAACTTCTCCTCTGACTACCGCCATGGTTGTCCCACACCGTTTGTGCGCTTCCTTTTCCTCATGCTTCTTCCCTGCACTCCTTCTCTTCCCTCGTCCACGTCCTCGTCCTCGTCCTCGTCCTCGTCCTCGTCCTCGTCCTCGTCCTCCTCCTCCTCTCCCTCTCTCTCTCCCTCTCTCTCTCCCTCATCTTCTTCCTCTTCCTCCCTCCTGTCTCCATTCGCTGCATAGACATTGCCGCCAAAAATCCCTTCTGTAGCGGTGGGGTGGTCTGTTTCCAAGCATGCCTACTCATATGGAATGTGGGGGTACTATTGGGATAAATAGGGGGTTATCCAAGTAGATTCTTTCAGATACTGGGGGTAGGTCATCCGAACTGGTCTACCTTCATCGCGGTTTCCCTCATGGGCGGTTATGAAATCGTTACAAAAACAGAAACCGTTATGCGTCATTGCTCTGTTGGTCCGATCAGCTAAACGCGGCGAGCGGCCCGTGGGATCGAGGAGGAGGAGGAGGAGGAGGAGGAGGAGGAGGAGAAGGAGGAGGAGAAGGAGGAGGAGGAGAAGGAGGAGGAGGAGGAGGAGGAGGAGGAGGAGGAGGAGGAGGAGGAGAGAACGAGTTGGTTGTCCGAGGACGAGTAGTCTGAGCAGAAGGAAAGTAGCAGCAGGAGGAAAGAACGAGGTGGACGAGGACCGTACGAAGACGAGGACGAAGACGAGGACGAGGACGAGTAGTCCGAGCAGAAGGAAAGAAGGAGGAGGAGGAGGTGGAGGAGCGAACGAGGAGGACGAGGACGATGACGAGGACGATGACGAGTCGTCAGAGCAGAAGGAAAGCAGCAGCAGGAGGAAAGAACGAGTTGGTTGTCCGAGGACGAGGACCAGGACGAGACTCGGAACGAGTAGTCTGAGCAGAAGGAAATAAGGAGGAGGAGGAGCCTGACTCTGTGAGGGCAGGACTCCCGCCGTTGAAGCCGGAGGGCGATTCGGGCTGGGCCGCATACGGTCACCGACCGGCGGAGACCGTCGTACGGTCCTGAGAGGAGAGAAAAGCTTGGAAGATCTTGTCTCGGAAACGTGCGTGAGGATGATTGGACCATTCTAAAAGGAGAGAGGCTCCTTGCAAGTGCAGACAGTGACAGCGTGACCGTGAGTGCTACTGGCGACCGCTGAGCTGCAGCAGTGAGCTACGAGTTGCGATGTGATGCTGAAGGCTGGTTGGCGCGATCAGAGGTCAATGGAGCTCCGGAATCATTCGATCTAGTCGTGGGTTGTACTCGGATCACCCAGTCACCCAGCCCGGCCACCGTGACACTCTGCCATTACTAAGTCACAAGTTCAAGTTCCAAGCACTACGAGGCCATTCAAGTTGTACTAAGGCTTCTCAAACAGGAACTCGCCTCAGCATTCACGGTTGCCCGTTGGCTGGACTGATAGGGAGGCAGTGGGTGATCGTTGGTGTGCGGGAGGTAGAGAAGCAGGGAGAAGAGAAGTCGACTTCTCTCCTGGTCAACGTCCTGGTCCTAGGAGAAGTTGCTCAGTCACACCCATTCCTCCTGCTCCTTCCGTGGTCTGACTGGGGGGCAAGGTCTTGACGCCCAGGAGGATCCGAGGCAAGAGGAAGGGACGAACGAGTTTAGTCCCAAGTTACCTCAAGGGAACCGAGAGGAGGTCAAGATGGAAGGCACAAGGAGAGGCAATGGTGCGATGGGTGGTTTGGAGAATTTTGCTGCCCTGTCATTGAAGGCGGGTGGAGCAGAGGAGGAGGCCGGCTCGATGGCAGTCACAGCAGCTCAGGAGCTGGGGGTCGGCGGGGTCGGGATCGTTCTACAACGGGACGACGAGCACAAGGTGCTCGGGTGGCACGTGCGGCAGATCGAGGTCGGCTCCTCCGCCTATGTGCAGGGAGACGTCCAGCTCTTTGACGTGCTCATGGCGGTGGAAGGGAGCCTGGTGGAGCAGATGGAGGAGGAGGAGATCGTCGGGAGGATCCTCGGGCCCGTCGGCTCGACCGTCACCCTCACGTTCGGGCGGGTGATACACAAGGAGCGACCCGAGCTGAGCAAGGTCGTCAGGGTGACGCTGGTGCGGGGGAGGCCGAGGATGCAGCTTGCGTCTGAGATCGTCCGAGCTGATGGCCTGCTAAGGTCGATGGAACGTCAGCGCCGGGCCCTGGGAAAGGACGCGAAGGTGGCGGCGCGATCGCTGCGGGAAGCGTCGGATCGAGTGACGTCGCTCAAGGATGAGCGGGAGAGTCTGAGGTTGACGCTGGAGGATGTGCAGGCCAGGATGAGGAGCATGGAGACGAGGCTGATCAAGAACGTGGCGGGCAAGGCGGAGCAAGAGGGCCTGCAGCGACTGACGTGCCAGGAGCTGCACGAGAGGATCGCGATGGTGCAGGAGAGGACGCTGAAGGCCAGGGAGAAGATGATGGAGAACGAGAAGATGAAGTGGAGGATAGAGAGCGAGGAGGGCGAGGTGTATGCCCGCATTGAGCAGCACCGGCGTTCGGCCCTTCATATGAAGGAGGTTCTCAGCTACTCCTCACCCAGCACCTCGACGAGCAAGGGCCCTGACTTGTCCAGCTCTTCCTACAGCAAGCTGGTCAGCGCGTACGAAGACAACATAGAAGAGTTGTCCAGGTGCGTGCTAGACAAGATTCAGACCCGTCAGGTCACAACCGAAAGCATGTCAAGGGGCTTGCAGGACCTTGAGGTGTTGGAGGAGGCGATAGCAGACTCCAGGAGGTATCAGCAAGGGCTCCTGGCCAGGAGGGAGAAGTTGGAGGAGGAGAGGGAGAGGAGGAAGAAGACGCTGCAGGATCTGGAGATGAAGAACTCCTCCCTCCTCTACGCCCTCAGTATCGCCAAGTCCCAGGGAGAGTACGAGCGGCAGCTGCTCGCTGACGCAGAGAGCGGGCAGGCGAAGAGCGTGAGGATGTGGAGCTCTGGCTTGCAGTCCGTCCAGGACCTCCGGGTAAAGTCCCGCGAGTCAGCCAACGAGAGGATCGCAGAGATCGGGAGCAAGATGGGAGCCATGGCGGCCGAGGCGGCGGCAGCGCACAAGGCGCTGGATGCGCGGGAGGAGGAGGTGAAGGAGGAGGAGATGCGGCTGATGGTGGCGAAGAACAAGATGCACATCGATCGTGCAAGGTTGCAACAGGAGGTGAAGGACGCGAGGAGGGAGGTGGAGGATCTGAGCAGAGCGCTGGAGAAGCCGACCAAGACACTGGAGGGAGAGATTGAGGCCATCAAGAACTTGTACGAGGCCAACACCCGCTGCAAGTCGGAGATCGCAGCGTCAAAGCGCCGGTTTGACATCCGTTGCATGCACCTCACGCGACTCTACGCGGCGCAGGTTCTGCGCACGAGGATGGAGGAGGCCATGGGCGGGGAGCAAGGGCACGTGCTGAGAGGGGTGATAGGCAAGATTGACGAGCTCAAGAGCATGAGGAGCCGCCTCGAGAACAAGCTCGCCGCCATCCTCAACCGCATCGCTCGCCTCTCCTCCGCCATCGATCGGTTTCACAACCAGACCCACGACCGCCATGGCCTCGCGCGCGTCTACCTCAAGGAGCGCGAGAGGCTTCTCATAAAAGCCAACGGCCTCTTTGCGGGCGCTCACAACCCAGCTGGGGAGAGCAACCGTTACTTCTCCCGCCGGCCTGTTACCAGGCTCCTCCAGGGCCCTGTCCTCGATCTTCTCAAGTACTGCGACCGCGACCGTGCCATGCGTTCAGAGCTGGAGGAGCCTTGAGGGATACCGGGCTACCTCCTGATACCTCGAGGAGGAGGGAAGAGGAGGAAGCAGAGTTGGTTCTTCACACCTTCTACTTGTTAAAGTACATCCTCATAATTGATAAACCAAAAACGGAAAGGGACATCCCGTCGTCACGAGCACCTGCTTTCCAACTTACAACCTACTCTTTGCTTCACCAGTTCTGCTGGTAGCCTCCGTAGAGAACAGGCTGGGCGGACGGAGCCTGTGTATTCAGAGTGAGGGAGCGAGTAACAGGTCGAGGAGGGAACTGACGTGATACTGAGGGACGACGCCATGCGCCCTTGGTTGCTGGTGCTGCACGTAGTACTGAAAGCACAGTCAGGCCCAGGTGACAAAACTGTGATAGCCGTTACCTGCTGCTGCTGCTGCTGGGGGTTCTGTCGAGCCTGAAGGGCATCTGAGTTAGAGGGCCATCAACAACAACCTGATCCCACTGACCTGATTCTGCTGAGAGAAATGATTGTTTGGCACCTTGGGGACAGGAATGTCTTGCGGGACCTAAGGCAAGGAGCACATCTTAGTAAAGCAGATGGGGTATGCGAGGACGGTGTACCGATTTCAGCAGGTCACGAAGAGTAGTCTTGAGTTCGTTGAAGCTCGGCCTCTTCTGAGGGACCTGTAGCACCGTTAGCGACAATCGACTAGCTGCTGAGCTTCATACAGGGTGCCAACATTGCTCGATCACCGCAACAAACTCCCGCGGCGTCTCAGGAGGGATGGGAGGGCGCTCGTTGCGAACAGCAACAGTGTGAATCATCTGGTGGTAGTTCTTGTCCGACCATGGCAGCTTCCCCGTGTACATCTCCCATAGCATAACAGCGAACCCGTAGAGGTCGACTTTCTCCGAGATCGGCTCGTCACGGAGCATCTCGGGAGCCTATGACTTGTGTCAGACGTTCACAGTTCCAGCCTGAGGGATCCACCTGGTACGCCGGCGTTCCTGCTGTGTTGCTAACAGTCTCAACGAAAGCCGCGTTCTTCAAACGGGCCAACCCAAAGTCGCAGAGCTTGACCTTTCGGTAACAGTGAGGACCCAACACGTGGAGGAGATTGCATGGCAGACCTCTCCTTTGTCGTTAACAAGGAGGCAATTCTGTGGTTTGAGATCACGATGTACAATGTGTCGCTCGTGCAAATAGGCCATTGCATCACAGATGCCCACCGCAATCTGCAGAACCTACGGACGGCGTCATGCACCAGACAGAAACAACGGAAACAGACCTGCCAGTAGGTCAACCGTTGGTTCTTCTTGTGTAGGTAGTCAAACAAGTTGCCATGGCCATTAACAATTTCCTGAAACAGACGAACACCGCCGGTTACGACAAAGCAAAGAAACAAGTCTGTTTTTCACCTGGACGAGGTAAAATGAACCGTTTTCAACACAGACACCAAGTAGTTTGACAATGCCTGTTTCACCATCAGACATCGCTTCCAATGCAGAGACTTTTGTTACCATGATGCTTCAGCGACCGCATCATCTCGCCTTCACGAACGAACTCTGCCATCTGTTCCTTACTGATTCTGCCTTTCATCTTCTTGACTGCACAGGGCATACGCCATTCCGCCCTACCGAACAAGGTCAAGAAACAAACGAATAAACATCGAAGTCACCTGTAAACATCAGCGAAGCTTCCGCTTCCCAACAGGGTTCCAAGCGTGAGCTCTTGAAACCGGATCCGCCCGGCTTCAATGTTGTCCATGGCCGACTTCTCCTTCTCTACCTCATCTCGATCAGAGCCTGAGTCCGTGACTTGTCTGACCGTGGACGATGCCGAGGCACCGTTAGCCATCGCATTCTGTAGGTTTGCTTCGCGCTCCTTGAGTTCCTTGTCCATGTTGCGGATCTGATCTCGTTGCCTCATGAGTTCCTGCTGCATTCTTTCAAGCTTTGCTTCTCTAGCTTGAAGTTCGGTCTCTTTGCGCTTCAGTGCGGAGGCTCTCTTTTCAAGCAACTCTTGCTCATTCTGCAGCTTAGTACGATCTTTCTGCAGAGTGGCTTCTAACTCTTTCAGCCCCTGTTGATGTTGAGCAATTTGTTGTTGCTTAGAAGCCATAGCCTTGTAAAACATGTCAGAGACAGTTATGGCATACACAGTTTCTAGTATTACCTTGTCCCTTTCAGACAATTGCTGTGCCTGGAGGTTTAGCTGCTCTTCCCTGGCATTGGCCTGCATTTGCTGTCGCCTGATCTTGTCTTCTTGATCCTGAGTCCTCTTCTCAAACGCGGGATCATTGACCGGCTGCTGTTGCTGTCTCATCGGAGTACTCGGAACGCTGTTTCCAACTTGCATATTCGCCTGGTTTCCCATTCCTCGTGACGCCATCGCAACCTGACGGCTGGTCTCCAAATCAAGAATACGATGACCGACAGTCTCGCCCTCATCAAGAGTGATCGACGCTGGTCGAATCTCAATCAAGCTGGCAGCACTCCAGTCAGCGAAACAGGATACCACATCGCAGCACGAGATACATCACCTGCCATCGACCATCTCGAGCTGCTGACCGTTAGACATCTCGACTACTTGGCCATCGACCATCTCCACAACACTTCCATTAGGCATCTCAACGACCCGGCCATTGGGATTGGACAGTCTAAAAAGTTTTCCATCCGGCAATTCTACGATTAATCCTTGGTCATTTTGGTTGTCATTGTATCCTACATCTCTGTTCACTAAATTTCCCTGCCTATTGAGCAATTCTTGCGAGGCGTTGTTCTCTTCATCAAGGTGGGCAAGGGCCCATTCGATCGCTTGAGGAACACCAGCCAGGTTAGTGGCAAGGCAGGCCCTCCTAGCATGGGCTGGGCTAAATCCAACCTACCAAGAGTGAGAGAGTCAAATGCATACAGCATATTTACCTCCGCGAGAGCATGCGTTAAGAATTCAAGACTCTTCTCTTTGTTGCTTTGCATTCCACCCTCCAAATGTGCACCACCCTCGCGAGCTTCTCCTGCAATCCTTGCACCCAAACGGTGATGATCGTTTCTTCTCTTTGCTATTCCTTGTTCGCTAGAATCTCCAGATGGTTTGTAATGTTTTCGCACCCAATCAAGTGCCTGATCAGTCCCAGCCTGTTGCCCATGTCATCACCCTGCCTGAAGGAGCCAAGAGCCCTTACGTTGTTAGTGGCCTGAACAGCTCGAATAGCAGCCTCTTTGTTTACGCCCCGCCTAACGAGCTCTGCAACGATATTGTCCCCAACGTTGATAATATCTCTTGCCATACGAAACCTCTTCAATTAGTTATCACAAAGCTTGCAAGCTGCAAAGTCCTACGAAATGGATTACTCGGAATGGAGAAGAAATCATTCTTACGAAGATCATTTGATGCTTAGCTAGAATCACAGAAAAGAAAGCTCCAATGTCTCCACCTGTTCTCAGAACAAGTTAGAAGATTCACTTGTGGTTGTGGTCATAGCACTGCAATCATCGCTTCTACTTGTCCCACAGAATCTATAGCCTTCAACCTCTAGCAGCATAGATTGGACTACTTCATGTCATAGGAGATGAAAAGCATACTCGCGGAACAGCAAAACAGCATACGAGTAACTGAAATGCGAAGTGGCCTACTGCTCCTCACTAAACCACAACAAAATGCGCGAAATCGCATCAATGAGCACAGTCATACTGATTTTGATTCTCATCATGTATACTTATGCATCATGGATCGGATGATGCAGCAGCAAGGAGCTTCACCGTGAACTCTAACCTACTAACTGGCTGTCAACATCACCGACGAAACTTCTAAGTGCAAAACTTATGCAAGAATATTCTTAACCCTTCACCGCAGCCTAGCATGACAGCATCAACAAGCCAAGCTATCCTGTTTATCATGATACACTACCATGCACAACCAACGGCCACCACATATCGTTCTGCACTCTTTGATTGGATGCTTGCTGCAAAACGGGTGTTGATTCCGTGGTCAATTTCGTTTCATCGATACAGCAAGATCTTGTTCACCTCTGTCACTTGACATCAACACAGTAGCGCATGCATTCTCGAGACATCATCCAACCCTCTTCCTTTTCTTCCTACTGTCCCTTCCTTCTTTTCCTCTTGCGTTCATGCCATAGGTATACTTGATGGCAGCGCGGTGAACGGTAGGTTGGGGATGAGAGGGTGGTCGAGTGGAATTGAGGGGGTAGGGGTAATTCAAATGGATTATAGTATGTGGGGTAGTATCAGGAGGAAAGTGGGTGGGGGTCAAATTGGTACCCTCTTTTTTGTGGGGGTGAAGGAATAGGAATCAGGGGGTGATGGGTACACCTGTGTCCTTTCCAGGGAGGTAGTACAATGGAAAACGGAGGGTGGGGGTAGATCAATCATCCACAGGTTACTGTTGGTTATGGGGTGGTAAGGTGGTCACTTCCACCCTTTTCTCTCCCAGAATTAAGGGGCATAGGGAGGGGTACTGGATTCAAAATATCTCAATGAAGGGGTACATCCGTACAGGGGTGCTCGGATTGCGTTCATTCCCATCCGATGGCATGGCGGGCTCTTGCTGTAGGGTGGCCTCCAACGGGGGTGGGTACAGGGTGGATCGAATGTTGGGAACAGGGGTAGGGGAAGGTTAGAGGGAAATGGGACTAGCTTAATTGGGGGTAGGGTTGTAGAAAATGGGGGTAGTGGGTGATGGGGATCAGGGATGGAAGGACAAGACTTCGAGGCCATGATGTAGGCGGCCTACACCTCGACCCATCTAGATTGAAGGGGTACCGTAGCCTGGTGGCGATGGGTGGGATCTGGCCAGGCATGGTGGGGGTACACACAATGGGGGTGGGTACTTCTGCAATTGTGTAGGTCAGGGGTTGTGAAGAGTGAGGTAGACTTCCAGGGGGTGGGAATGACAGTGGGCTATGGGGTGGTATTTGGCTCAGAGCTCAGGGTGGGTGGATTGGGGATTTAAATCTAAAAACATTTTAGGCTTTCAAATCAACACCCCCTACCCTCTGCTTCACTATCATTACCACCGGTACTATAACCTTTTAGGCTCCAACGGGTGCTTGCATGTCCAGACCTACCTTCGAAACCAGATCCATTTGTGGTACCCCTTCCCATTACTAATAAGTACCCACCCTTTACTCTCAAGAACTTTCATGCTTGGCAAACAACCCCTCCCTTGCTATCCCTAACTACCCTACCCCCCAGTCAGCAAGGAAGCTGAGGGGGTTCTCATGACCCTCAGTTGTCAAGTCCACCCCGGTCGCACCACCCTTTGCACCCCATCATCTTCAGATCGTACCCTACCCCCCCTTCCTCACTTGAATCCAACACCACCCCATCAAAAGATAACCAAGTACCCTATCAAAAGGTACAGCGGTGTCGTCTTAGACAAAGTCAGTACCCTGTTACCTGTACCCTACCCTGTCGTAACCATAATAGAAACAAGCCGATATGTCTCAGTGACACGGGCCGGGCCGGAGTAGTTCACCGGATAAGAACTTGAGGCGAGCCCGGAAAATGATGAGTTAAGTAAAACCTAATCCGAAAGTTCTATGCTTGTCAGTGGGGGCGGAATGGAGCGCGGGAATGGAAGGAAGGGAAGGGAATGTTGGATAGTGGGTGGCTGGGAGAGAAATCAGAAGAGAGAGGAAGAAGAAAGGAAGCCCGTCAAGGGAGGAACTGGGAGATGTACAGAGAGGGTGTAGAGTAGGATTGGGGTAGGATTTCATGAAGGAGTTGATCTGATGCTTAGTTCGTCATCAAGGTGAAGCAAAGATCCAAGAGCTTTTCTGCAAGTTTGTGGATTTAAAATTTTTCGTAGGACGCTGCTGAAATTTCTGGTAGGAGAGAGGGTTGGGATGATTACGATTCATGAACGCATTCAAGGAAGAGAACATGCTAGGAAAAGTACATGCTGTTTTTTTCAGTATTCTCATGAACCTCCCCGGCCGCTACCTTGAGACTCTGAGTATAGCCTGTGTTTGCTTCATTGGTATGAAGATGGAGCAGGCACAGGAGGCAGGAAGGAGACGAGACGGCAGCTACCGAAGCAGGCAGCATGTGGCGGATAGGAACGTTCTAGAAGAGGAAGCTGGAAGGCGATCTGCGAGGGATTGTTGCTCTTGCTCGTTCTGATCGCCTGGAGGGCAGGATACTCATGGCGGAGCAAGAATTCGAGAAGGGGAACGAGCACTACGTGAAGGAGAACTGGGATGAAGCTCTTAAACATTTCTCCAGGTGCGGATTGCTTCCCTTCCCTCCTCTCTTCGCGTTGCCCCTTCCTGCCTCCTCCTTATCCCCCCCTTCCTCCATCTGCTATCACTTTATTCTGTCTCCCTTCCCCACGTTACATCCTCCCTTTCCTTCCATCTTCCACTGGTCACACCTTGACTTGCTAGGGCTGCGGAGCTGGACCCTTCCAAGGCTGAATATCTTGTCCACAAGGCCGCGGCATTGTGCAAGGTCAGAGATCTGAGAGTCCTAAACTCGAAACCTTCCTCTCGCCTCTAGTCCCTTCGTTCTTGTCGCCGCAGTCACCTTTCCTCTCCTAGGGATTGGACTTATAATATTGCTTGCTCTCCTTCTTGCTGCCCTTCCCCCCACCCCCACCCCTCTCCTCTTCTCTTCCCCTCTCCTCTTGACTTTCCCCTTCCCCAACTCTCTTCTTCTCTTTCCTTCCCCAGCCCTCTTCTTCTCTATGACCCTTCCAAACTTTCTCCTCTCCTCCCTCGCTCTATCTCGTGGCCTTGACGTCCTGTCGCGTCTGTAGAAAGGGTTGTTCGATCAGGCTGTGGAGGCCTGCGATCGAGGCATCGAGGTTGAGCCTCAGAACTCGAAGTCATACCTAAGGAAGGGCATGACTCTGGTGTCCAAGGGAGACCTTGAAGCGGTACGCCTGCTGCTCCCTATCTCCCCCCCTTCTCCCTTCTCCCTTCTTCCGTCTTGCTCTGATCTTCATCTTTCCCTTCACACATAGCCCCAGCTCCAGCCCAGCTCCTCTTTTTCTGCTCTGCTTTCCTGCTCTTCTGCTTCTGTTTGTCCTGCTCCTGCTTGCTACTGCTCTTTCCATAATTTGCATCTGCTTCTGCCTCTATTTCTTTCTCTGCTCTCATCTCATTGCTCGATCAGTCGCCAACCTTCCAACCCCCTCCCTCCCCCTCCCTCCTTTCAAGGCACCATCAACGTTTTGTTCTTTCATTGTCAAATCCCCTCCCTGCCTTGCATTACCAACTTCTTCAAGACTGGAGGTCGTTCTCATCCCTTGTTGCAGGCAAAACGGGTGCTGTTGCAAGGACAGGGGGTGGACCCTAGCAACAGGAGCTTTGCAACCTGGTTGAAGAAGTGCGACGCCAGCTCAAGTCTCGACCCTCCTGCATGGCGCCATGGCTGACTGAGCTCAACCGCAGGCGATCAGAGCGGCATGGTGGAAGTCAACTCGGAAATCGGGAAGCACGACACTACTCTGACCCGCATGTTGGAGCAGCACAACAATCAGGCACGCTGACATCGGAGTCGACACGGTGAATTGCTAACGGTGCTTACAGGCGTACGCCATGCTAGACACGACGATTGAGTTCGTCGCTCGCAAGACCACCTTGTCGGGGATGGACCCGTCGACTACTTCCTCCCTGCTCAACGAGCTCTGCAGGTGATCTTGTTCCCTCCTTCTCCACCACCTCCTTGATCTGTCAATCGAAACTCACGCCAAGGCAGGAAGTACTGGAGGGAAGGAGACCGCGTTTCCAGGGAAGAAGGGACGAGAGGAGGGGTGAGAGCATGTGCAAGGAGGAAGAGGAGGAGCCCCGTGCTGACGACGTTGGCAGCATGCGAGCGCAGAAGCGATGCGAGCTCTTCCTGTCATTGTCTCGAGCTCAGCAAAAGTCGCGCTTGAGAATGCCCGCAAGGTGACCCTTTCCACCCCACCCTGCCTTCCCTCTCGCTTCCTCGCCTTGCTCCTGTCCTTGTACCGCTTCCTCGCCTTGCTCCTGTCCTTGTAGGCTTCATGGACATGAGCAGCGGGGGACACAGGAGGCTCGGGAGGAAGGGAGAGAGGAGGGAGAGGGGTTTGAAAGAAGGAAAAGAAAGAGGACGTTGCTGAAACTCTGCATGACAGCTTAGGGAACAAGAGCTTGCGGCTGGAGAGGGAGGAGCTGGAGGGATAAAACCAGGAACGCAATGCAAGAACAACGGATGTGAGCTTGAGATAGCAAGGATCGGAGAGATTGACTGCAGGGCAGGTACCAACGTGTACGAGAACGAGAGCAGCCTTGAGCAGAAGTGCCGGTACCACCCCGGGGCCCCAGTCTTCCATGAAGGTGTGGAGGGAAGGGAAGGGAGGGAAGGGAGAGCTCAACGAGTTGTATAGTGACCGCAAGGGGCGGTGAGGGGGAGGAGGTGTGGGAGGTAGAAGGGTAGCAAGTGAGGGGGGGTGGGGGGAGAAAGAGGGATGGCAGAAAAGGGGAGAGATTGGAGCGGAATTCAGATGGAAGTATAGAAAAGGCGGAGCAGATGATAGTAGGCCCGAGGGTCAGGAGGAAGTGCGAGCCAGAGGGGAGCAAGCGTGCGTGAAGGGAGGACAGCTGAATGAGAGGAGGATGGAGGGAGTTGCTTCAACAGTTGCTGACACCAGTCAAGGCTACAAGTACTGGTCCTGCTGCAAGAAGAAGAAGACGACTGAGTTCTCAGAGTTCCTCTCGTTCGCGGGCTGCACGGAGGGCACATGCGTGTTCCAGGTGCTGCTTGCGTTTGGAGGAATGAAGGGGAAGAGGGAAGGGAAAGGCGAGAGGGAGGAGGGTAAGCGGAATGCGCCTTATAGAGAGCGAGGTTGCGGAAAGAGAGTGGAAGAAAGCGGAGAAGGGGAAGAAGAGGAAGGGAGGAGAAGGGGGAGGGGGAAAGAGAAGGTGGAGGCAAGGAAGGGCATGACAAAGGAGTGGGATGCTGAGACGGGAAAGGGAGCTATGTAGAGATTGAGGACAGGGAAGGAGGGGGGGAGGAGATTTCGCGGCATGATCGCATGTTACCAGGACGATCCAACGAAGAAGAAAAAAGCCTTGTGCCGCTACGATTTCTTCCAGCAGGTCAGCCATTCCTGCCTGCAACAGCAACAGCAGCAACGTTGAGCTCCTAGCAGGGAGGGAACGTCACTCTGTCGATCTACGCAAAGAAGGTGGATCCTGACAGCTGCTCGTTCAATCTGTCGCCGACCCGGCTTACTCTCTCCATCCTCTTTGACGTTGTCAACAACTTCTCGCTGGACGTGGAACTGTTCGGGAGGTGAGAGGAGGAGACTGGGGGATGAAGATGGTGAGTAACGGAGGACTCAGGGTTGATCCGGACGCTTGCAAGGTCTCTATTCTCGCTCCCAAGGTAGAGTGAGCACATGTTCATTCCGATGTGACTGGCACGCCAGGTTGAGATCACCCTCAAGAAGGCGGATGGTACCAACTGGACCGAGCTAGGGAACTTGCTCAGTTGTGGAGACGATGAGGATGAATGAAGGAGCGAGAATGAGGAGATTAACAAACAAGTAGAAAGACTGAACGTTGTTTCATGCACTTTCACTTGCCGCGCTCAACTTCAGGTAGCTTGATTTTCAATAAAACCCAGATAGTGGGTGACAACAGACTGAAGATTTAGTACATTCCGATGACGCTGCTGAGCCAAGGATCGACAGAGAGGTTGTCGACGGGCTAAAAAAACAACACCAAGTTATAAGGAAAAAAATAAACACAAACAAGATCAGTCACTACACTTGGAAGAAAAAATCACTTCACCACACGAAATCACTTTGAATCAACCAAACATCGCAGATGTAGCAATAAGAACGACTCATTATCAGGCGTTATCGGGCATAGTAGCAGTCAAGTATCGCTCGACATTGGTACCTCAGTGACGTGCCAAGTGATGGAAGAGTCATCGAGGTCCTCCCACTGGTTGTAGTAGGGGTCGTGGATGTCATCCCAAGACTGGCTGGGACCACCCTGGTAGATCCAGCTGGGGCTGTGGACATTCCAGGTGTGGATGCCGTCGGTGTTGTACCTACACAATGATGGTGACTAAACTGCATGACGTGATAGTTTCTAGTATCCAATCAATATGATCTAGTTCGCTTCGCCCTGATCAAACCTTCATACACACACAATCCTCTTGAAATCATTCAAAAATTCCCATACTTCCAACCTCATACAATGATCAAACATTCAACCTCATGCAACCATCCCACCACTGTACAACCAGTCTACTCTCTCATGATATGGAGAGGATAGGTCAGTGAAAAGGAATGATGCGAACATCACCCCTTCCTCCAATCCTTCCAACATATTCCCCTTGCATCCTCCTCCTACTCCTCCTCCTCCTCCTCCTCCTCCTCCTCCTCCTCCTCCTCCTCGTCTCGCCATACCCAGCAGAGTTGAAGAGGGCTGCTCCAGGAATGAAGTGCACAAGCATGTCGCGCTGTTTTGACTCTTCGCGAGTGACTCCTCAATATATCCCCTTCCCCCTCCCACCCCGGCTCACCCACCCTCACCGCTACTACCCCACCCCCTCAACCCAATTGAAACCTCAGGGCAAGCCCTTCCAATTCAAGTACCCACCCCCCAGTCATTGGGAGAGCTCCCGGCGGAATCACGATCCGATCACTGGGAGGGCAGGGGGGGTAGCCCTGCAGAAGTTCCCGAAACAGTACCACCACCCCTCATTTGATATAGGTTTACCAGGGGTCCAGCCCTGAAGGGTCAAGGGGCATCCATATCAGTGATTTCTTTTTAACTCGGAAAGAAGGGGGTGGAGGTAGGAGGGTGGTCCGAGGCTGATAAAGGCAAGGTACCGGGTAGTCGCACAGAGAATCTCAGAAATAAGGCAGGGGTACTTTACCACTACCGCCGTACTCCCACCGACTTGGCTTTCAACTGACTTGCGGCAACTGGCGGCCGCTCGGTTGACTGGCATCAAGCCCCGCCGGCACGGCGGCCCGCGGGCCGGCCGGGCCGGGCGGACCGCCGGCCGCCGCCGCCGGGTCACACCGGTAGTAAGGCCGGGCCCGGAGTCACGGTGTTTCGCCGGCGCAGCCCCCCGGGCCGGGGGATCCCGGGGGGGCCAAGGCTGGCCGCCGGGCAACGGCGCCTCACGCCGCCGGTCGGCGGTTGACGGTTACTGGCCCGAGCCTCTGAGGGTCCGATGGCCGTCCGTAAGGGCCGCCGCCGTCGGGCCCCCCGCGGCAGCGCTGCGGTCACCGGCCCCCGGCCCGGCTGCAACGGGTGACTGCGGCGGCCGGGCACGGGGCCCCGGGGCCGGGCCGATCGGCCCCCCTCAGTGAGATCGGCGGCACCCCCCGGGGACGGGCTGAGTCAGGCTCCTGGGCCCTACCCGGAGTTAGTCACGGGGCCGGGCGGCTACCGTGACGGCCGGGCCCGGGCCCGCCGCAAGGACCCGGGCGGTATCAGTGCCGTTGAACCGTCGGAACCGTATCATGATGATTCATTCAATGATACCTTGGTGGACTGGAACAAGGAGCAGTAGACAGTTAGGTGGCGAATCGCCGCCATGCTGATCCAAGGGTTCGCCTGCGGATCCCTCTCGATCGCCCACGTACTCGTCAGGATCTCTGCCTCCTCCCTCGTCATGTCCTGCAGCCGCCGCCCTCGACCCTCCACCTCCTTGAACCCAACCTCCTCCACGACTCGCAGCAGCTTCTCTGCATCCTCGACGCTGATCTGCGCATCTCCTTTGAGAGAAACATCAAAGCTGAGTAGGAGGAACCCTCCTGGCTTCAGCACTCGTCGGAACTCAGCCAGGATGCGGTCATAGTTGGTTGTGTGCTCCAGGACCGAAACTGACATCGCCACGTCATGGGTACTGTCCTCAAAGGGCAGGTCCGCCATGGACGAGTGGAACAGCTGCACCCTACCGTCCTCCTCCAACAGCCCGAGCTCATGGTAGACTTGAGGAAGCCGCATGTCTGAGTCGATGCCGTCGACCTGCGAAGACAAACATCAGTCACCTACCAACAAACCCTCCCCCCCCTAAGCCACTCCTCTCCCTCTCCCTCCACCCTTGCTCTCTCACCACTACCAGCTTCAAACGGGCCTCCTCTTCCCTTCCCCTCTCCCTTTCCTCTCCTCTCCCTCCCCCTCAGCCCACCATTCCACTTCACCTCTGAGCTGACCACCACATGCTCTCTCCTTCCTCTTCCCTCTCCCCATTCGTGTCCCACAGCGTCCACCCTATCTCCACTTGTTGAGAGCTTCTCACCGTGACGTTAGGCAGATGTTCAACGAGGAAGAAGGGGAAGAACGTGCAACCTATACCTCCATCGATAACCCTCAACCCCTGACCCTGGTAGAACTGCTCCTGTAGGCGGCGGATGGCGATGTAGTGGAAGGGATATTCCCAGCGTCTGCTCCACTGCATCAAGACATCAGGCTGTATGAGCGACAGCATGTTCGCAGCGACATGCATGAAACCATTCTTCATCATCCAATAGCGAGAAAAGCTCATCATCTCGCTGAAAACTTCACTCTCCTCCACCCTCTGGTACTCCTCCCGCCTCGGAACCCCGCAAGGCAGCAGAGAGTCCGCCCCCAGCCGATCCACATCTGCGGTAGCCCCTTCGGAGCAGGAGACGGCGAACGTCTCGTCTACCTCCTCCCTGACCTTGCGGCTGTGCAGCACAACACAAGGAAAGAACCCAGCGTCAACCGGTTGCCCTACGATGACCTGGCCAGCCACCAAGTCACTGCACGTCGTAGCTCCTCTGCACTGCCAGGGAGGAGGCAGAGTGTGCGTTCTGACATCGGGGCTGTTCCAGAGCGCGAATCTAAGAGCTTCTTGATCGTAGAACCCCAGGGGTTGCAGCTGCCTCCCCCGCTCAAGGGCCAGCCGCAGCAGCCTCGTAAGGCGCTCGTTGGAGGCGAACAAGACTACTGCAGAGTTGAACTGAGCGTAGGAAGACGGTATGGAAAAACGAGCGAGCCCTGTAGGATGACCCTCGTGGAACAGGATAGGAGCTTCTGTCGCAACCAGGTCGAACCTTGGTAGGAGGTCGAACGCTCCCAGCACGTCACGGCAGACGTACGTGTCGGCGTCGAGGAACATGGTGTGCTGGAAGGGTGATGCCAGCATGGCACTGATTTTGAAGGTCGTGCTGCTCTCAGCGTCCGGGTGGAACGAGAATTGAACTCCCAGCTTCTCCATGCCAACTAGAGCGCCAATGCTCTCTGCCCCCTCCTTACCTGCGATGGCCACATGTACCCCTAGCATCCTGTTGCGCTGCAGCTGCTTCAAGCTCAGGATCGACCGTCTCACCATGCTTGTCATCTTATCGCTCTCGCCTCCACCCAAATTGTACAGAGCATACAACACCCCATGCGTCGTGAAGTTCCTGCAGGCAACAATGCTCCTGGCCCCTTCCATTCTAATCCCCCTCCTCACTAGCTCGTCTTCCTTCAGCGTTCCTGTCTCGTTCGGCATGACCGGCACGTCCTCGTCCCATCTCACCGCATTGATACAAATCAACCACTCCCTCATCTCGCAGGCGCTCATGGCACCAATCCTCCTCCCCAACGGGCAGCAGGCACTACCCTGCCATTTCATGTCTCCGTCGGCGTCCGACATGCCCAACAGCTCCCGAGCCTCCTCTACTGCACCGGCTTCTCCTCTGCCCTCCTTCACCATCCCCACGTCGATGATCAGTATCCCCAACAGCCATACCCATCTCCTGACCATGCTCCCTCCTGATTGTCCTCGTACTGATTCTAACTTAACTTTGAGTAAACCTTCTGGTACAAGATACGGGCTGGCACAACGCCGGTCTTCCGGTCTCTGTCAGGCTCTTCTGATTGTCCTAATACTGATTTTTAACTTAACTATGCTTGAGTAAACATGGACTCATGGCCTGAGTGCCTGGGAGTCACGGCACCGTCCCATGTAAGCCTATGATGAGGCCCGCCTCAGTATCTTGAGGGTAGGATAGGTGAGGGCAGCAATGAGCAGTTAGGGGTATAGCCCATACCATTGTAGACCCTTACCCCTCCTTTAGCCCTCAATATCCAGTCAAAAGGAGGGGTGGGGTTCCCGAAGTTGCTGACTTGGATGAGCCGACACCTACGAGGGTGCTGACCGGGGGGAAATTGTAATCAGTTTACTACGGTACGTGACCAACCTTTCAAATCCTAAAGGAGATTGGAGCGAAACGTTGAGGTATACAGGTGAAACGGCGCTCGCACGTCAACTGCTCCGAAAAGATGCGATTTGAATTTCCGACGGTCAGTTGAACCGTTGCGTTATGATGTCGAAATATTAGCCACACGCGTTCATGTACTCTTATTGCCGAACCGTTGCAGTTTACTAGCCAAAACCTCCCCCCCCCCCTCCCGTCTTGCTCCGTCACAGTCGCTAACCTCCCAGCCTCTCCCACACGTCCCTACTATTCATCCCATCGCCATTCTTCGCCACAAAGTCTCTTCCCACATCATCATCCTCTCCTCTCCTTTTCGTCCCTTACCGCTGCCCTTGCAAGCATTCAAGAGCATGCCTCCTGTGTCTCTAGCGCTGCTGCAACCATACAAAAAACCTCTTCATAAAGGTGCATCCACATGAACTGAGTACTTCACGTGTTGAAACTTCCTCATAATGAAATATTACCTCACATTGACAAAACTCTGACACTCTGTTCCCATTTCCATTCTGTTAAACAAACAGCCCCTTGCTCCGCACCAACAAGTATACAAAGTTTTCAAGCATTCGACACTAGCCTCGTTCCATCTCAGAATTTCGATCGTTCCTTTCATTCAAACTTCTGATCGTTTTCTTTGACAGAAACGCACAAATCGGAATATCTACCCACATCTGCTGTGACCCAAACTATCAACTTCTGCTCAGACAAAACATCTTGCAAACAAATCCAACATGTCTATGATCGACTTGCCCCAAGACCAGCACTGCGACATTCAGATAGAGAACTTCAATTTTCTTAGCATGCATGCTACCATGGACGAGGAGATGGAGGTCTTCAACTGGGCCGACGAGCTCAAAGAGTCCCTCAAGAGCTGCGCATCCTGTTGCTCTGCAAGCCGAGATTGCGACGTGTGCAGGAGCGCACAGAGCAAGAGCCTGGAGTTTCCTTCGAACCCGCTCTTCGAGGAGACCATGGAAATGCAAGCTAGGCTGCCGTCTTTTGCCTTAGAAGCTGGTCACCACTTGGAAGAGAACGCAGAGATGGAGGAGACGGAGAACGTAGTCAAGGTCTACCCCAAGAGGAGGAAGAACTCTGTTCAGGAGTCTCCCTCCGTCGAGATTTCGCACGAGATGCTTGCGGATCACTTTCATGAGCCACTGGAAATTGCTGCTGCAAAGATTGTAAGCTTCTTCACTTCTCACTTCATTTCTTTCTGTCCCCTCCTCCCTCCTCCCTCCTCCAACTCTTTCTGTCTGCTCCTGTTTGTCGACCGCACTTGCTGCCTTCCTTGTCACCATATCTGACACTTGGAGCAGGGGATCGGAAAATCTACCATGAAGATTGTCTGCAGAAAGCTCGGAGTTGAGAAATGGCCGTACACGAACAAGGGGATGCCCCGTCGTCGGCACGCGAGCGCATCGAAGTTTTAGGATGTGCTAGATTTGATCGAGGATGCGAGTGATGATCCTCGTTCCCTCTGCTGTGAGGTTGTAAAGTTCGGTTGTAATATATGGTTTGCTTTAAACTTTCAGTTTCCTTCTGTTCTCAAAGACTGGAGATCGGGAATGGTTAGAGCGTAGAGACATCGGAGTACACTTGGGAGATCGAAATTCTCTTCACAGACAATTCTAACAATGCAAGAAAAGATATGCGAGCTATGGTATGAACTTGGAAGGATTGATAAAGAGTGAAAAGAAAATCTTTCTGCAATTGTGAAACGCCAGTCGGAGGAAAATTGAAAATTCGGCAAGGAAATCAGAGAACAAAAACAGAACTGAATGTTTCAGCAGGGGGCGCGGGGTCAGGGGAACGAGTTTGAGAGCTGCGAGGAAGGGCTGAAGATGGAGAATCAGGACAGAGATAGACATGGGAGTGGACCAAGGTGCAGGCTGAGGGCGAGTTCAGAAATGCTGCAAAAGAAACGCAATGATAAACAAACGCCAACAAACAAAAGGTTGCACGAATCAAAGAAAGGGGCAGCATTGAGCCTGTCATGGCAGAGTCAGGGTGAGAACGAACAATGGAATGCTGAGTAGAATCATACATCAAATCAGCTGAGAGAGTTGGAATGAGGAATGCCATGGAGAAGGATGGGGAACACAGATGCAAGTGCTGTCGATCGAAGAAGGAGAAAGTTCCTTCGCGGGAAAAAACATGCGAAGCAGAAAAGGAAAAGTAGCGACATGTCCATAGAAACATCCTCTGGTTGAGCTGAGAGAGATTCAGACTGCAAACTTGTTTGTCTAAAGAAAGATTCGAAAGCGTGAAGAGCAGGAGCAGACAAAGTCAAGGAAGGAAAGTGCAGCTGCAACATGCAATTTCAAGGTGAACGTGGACAATCGGAAAGAAACTTGACCATTGACGAGGAGTAGGACGGCAAAATCGAGATTTCAACTTGGCAGCAAGAACGGAATGAGGTCGAGCAGTGCAAGTTAGTGTTACAATGAATCTGTTTCATAGGACGGAGTTCGCGAGAAGTCAAGTGACAAGGGGCAATCGTTAAGCATCATCAATGTACCAGGGGGATCCGAACAGCACGAGTCTTGTAATCGTTTATTCAGTTTAGGCGTCAAATCTAACCATGATCTATCAAGAAGCAGCAGTGTGTGGAAATCTCCTTCGCTCATCCCAGGAACAAAAACCTCTCAGCAGGAGTTCTTCAGGCTCCATCGTCCGTACGGGCAGTCAGCCGACCTCCGGACCCCCTTGTTCGTATAAGGCCACTTGTGGATCCCCAGTCTGCGACAGGCGAGCTTCATGGTGGACTTGCCTACTCCCTGAAGGCACTTTGATGTCAGCAATTCGAGGAAGTCGCAAACTCATAAGTTCTTACCAGGTGGGAAGCCACTGTTTCTATCTTCTGTCCATAGAACTCCTGAAGGATCTCCCTAGTGATCTCAACGACCTTTCCTTCGCTCCCTTCCTTCCTTCCTCGTACATAGACGGTCTTCTCGTCTCCCAATGGCCGGATGTGTTGACTCCCGGGAAGCTTGTTTGCGATTTCCATCACTCCCTGATCACGGTTTGGCTCCTCCTTGTGGCAATTGAAGTCCTCGAAGATCTCGTCAATGTTGAAACTGCACTCTTCGATGTTCTCTCTTGTAGACCCATGGCCTTCTTGCTCCATTGCTGCTTGCCCAAGACCGAACTCTTCGTGTTCTTCCACGAAGTTGCATTGTGGGATGCTCTCAAACAAGCTGAGGTTCCAGTAATCGCCAAGAAAAGATTCTTCTTCAACCAGACAAAAGGACATGGTTGCTTTGTGTAAAATGAAAATGTATCAAGATCTAGTCGAGGCTCTTCCCTTTATCAAGCTGACTCGATAGGAAAGCAAGTGACTGGTTGAAGAATCGGCTGGTAGTCAGAGAAGAAAGGAGAGGGGGAAACGTCCTTGGGGGTTTGGTGGGGGTTTTCTCCTAAAGTCTAGAGCGTGAGGGAGAGGGAGGGCAGGGGGGAGGCTTTAAGAGGAGCTGGGACAGGCGCAGAAACGTGTTCTACCGGGGTTGTGGGGGGGAAAGGGTTGGCGTGATGTTTGAGACAGTCATAGGCTGACAAAAGCGTTGAAAAGCTCTCTTTTTAAAAAGCCTCTTGAGCTCTGTACCCGGTATAAACATTTGAGAGGGGGGGTGGGGTACTCAGATATTACCTTCATATCAGAGTAAAGTATGAATATACGTCTTTTGGCTCAAAAGCCATATCTATAATATATACACTTATAGTCAGCGGGATCGGGAAGGATACCCGAGGTGGGTAGGGGTAGGTGGACATAAATGGGTAGGGTATAGGTAAATTTTAGGTGGTTGGTTTGAAATGTTTTTGAAATATCAATCTTTGTTTGATCATGTTTGAAGATTTGGAACAAATAAGCTTATCCATTTTGACCAATAAAGGTACATAGGCGGTCGCAGGGGTAGGGTGTAGCACCTGGGGTAAGTGGGGTAGCGCCCCGAGGGAGGTGCAGTTACGACGCTGGTTCTCACCATTTTTTTTAGCGAGTATTTGTACTCAAAACTTTAGTTAGCAAACTGTGCATGTCGTACCAAGAGTCGGGACAGTCAGAACAACGGGTGGGTCGGGCTCTTTCTGGGGGTCGGGTGGTCTTATTTTATATCCTGCCAATCCGGCTCCACGTGACCTCTCTATCTCTTCGACTGCCGGCGCCGATCGGACGGTTCGAGCCGCCGGCTGTAGCACTGCCGAAGAATCTGCAGTAAACCGAAGAGAAATATAGATGGTAGCAATAAACCCCTCGCTGGTTTACTGCTGCGGTGGAGACTCTCGCGAGCTCTCGAAGCATTTTGTACGTTAGCACCGCAAAGAAGCGAAGTTCTCGATAGATTCCTGCTGTAAACAACCAATAGTTTGAACACGGGCCACGTAGAGGTCAAAACTTTTTTTTTCACGGTAGCCGCCGTGGGCCGCCGCAGTCACGTGGCCCCGCCACCGTGGCTGGCAGTAAAAGATACCGGGGCCCTGTGGCCCGGCCTTCAACATTCGGGCTAAGTCACTCAAAACAAGTTAGTAGTACTTTGAGTAGCACTCGGACTCACACGGCCCGTGCCAATGACACAGTGTCCCGTACTGATTTTTAACTTAACTTTGGGTAAAGAACTTGAACTGATGGCGGGGGCCGGTAGGGGGGAGATGCTTGAAAGCCACGATGGCAGCGGAACGTAATGGAGGTATTGAGACATCGAACATGCCTGTACCAAATGTGCTTGAAGCTGAGATCTTGAGAAGATGAAAGACCATCCATGGCAGAAATCTTCTTCTCTTGATCCTCCACCCCAGGTGTCCCAGAGAACAGCTGAGGCGAGCTATCAGCACTACTGGTTATAGCATAGCTATCAGTTCTGGAAATCTATCATGCGCTGGAAAGCGGGGGAATGATCTTCCTCTGCTCAAGGGACGCACTGCTCAAACGTCATGGGATTTTCTTGCTTGCATGTGGCATACCACCACGTGAATCCCTCAACCATGATTTTCTTGCTTGCATGTGGTATAGCACCGTATGTATCCCTCAACCATTATCTGAAGGATGCTTTGCATTGCAGCATCTCACTCAAACTGATCGTTGCACGGTGTAAGGCAGAGTTTGAAAGCATTCAGCTGTATGTTTTGCTCCATAGGGTTCTAGTGCGTCTGGACGTTGAAGCATGAAAGCTGTCGACAAATATGCCGGCTACTGGTAGGTGGCAAAAGACGATATACCAAGGATTCAACTAAGTAACAAATCATCCTTCGAAATTCAAATCCACTCAACTTTTTTTGCAGGAATTGATTTCAAACAAGTCTGATTTTTGACTCGGACGAATGTGCTGTTAGGGCTTTCAAAAAGTGAAGGATTGAAACACAAGCAGAAAATTTAGGTGATGGAATGTACTTCGTTTTCAACTGCGTGTTCACTTCAGAACCGTGCATGGTCTCATTCTTTTCACTTATACCCTGAAAAATCTATTGATGTTTTTTACATTTCTGTCGAGCTTGACTTGTTTCTGCCAAGTTTTTGAGTAAACAGAAAAAGCCGACCACACAGACATATCCACAGGATGAATGATCCACATACTATGAAGGAAAATATTCTTCGTGACAAGAAGAACTCCTGTGAAGTGTTTCTCCATTTCCACGATGCATGGCATCTGGAATGCATCAGGCATCACTGTTACATACAATCAAGAACAAGAAAAAACAAGACCCCTAGAAGATGCATCGAGGCTTCGTGCCATATGTTCAAGTCTTTATTACAGGTAATGTTTCAATGCTATCGGCTGCCGCCATTGCAGTGCTTGGGGAAAAAGGCAATGCTCCTGCTGCTTCATCTTCGCGCAGCAGCGCTCCTCTTGTTCTTCTGCTCCTTGCGAGTGTAGGGCCATTTCTTAAGCCCAAGACGCCTGCATACATGCTTCATTGTTGACTTTCCAATGCCCTGAGTTACACAAGTCAGGACAACCAGAACAACAAGAAGTCGTTCCTTACCAGAGCAGAGGATGCATCTTCGATGCTTAGATGGAAGTGCTTCTTGACCAAGTCAAGAGTGATGATGACGCGATTGCTCATACCCCTGTCCCCTCTCCTGGAGTGGATGATGACATAGTCGCTCTCTTCAAGTTCTTTGAGAGTCTTTGCCTGCGACGGGCATGTTTCTTCGCTCATGCAGGAATCGGAGTTGTTTTTGGAGCTGGTGTCCTCCTCATCCTGGGTCTCCTCATCTTCATTCTCATCCTCTTGCTCAAAGTCGAGAAGAGCATCTTCTTGGAAGATTGAGTATACTTCTTTTTCACTTTGGCAACACCAATAGATATCGCTAGTACTGGGAGTCGAGTGCGTGAAGCACATGGGATTGTATAACTTTGCAAGCATCAGGTTATCTATGTCATCGGTGTAGCTCATTTTTCTTGTCGTTGGGGAAAGATTTCAGATGCTATGTGTTTGGGATGTGTGTTTGGGATATGTGAGAGTCGGGAGGAGCAGAAAATGGAACTGTGGGTGAGAGTTACAGCAAAGCTTGCAGCGTGCCAGTCGGCCAGGCGGGTGTACTCTATATAGGACAGTGTCACGCTACCGCCTGGGAATGGAAATTGAAAATAGATCTTTTCAAAAATTGACCTTCTTTCAAAACAGCTATTGCCGGAAGCTCCGTCTTTTTAAAAAGAAGTTTATAAATGAGGTGTAAAGCTCGTCAAACATGCGATAATCGGACTTTGCCGAATATACTGTTCCAAAACCACCCCACCCTTCTTTTGACCTTGAAGAAGGCGTCGTTGCCAAGATCGGGGTTTACCGGCCTCGGTCAGCAACTAGCGACGGTCATGATACGAAGGGGCTCTATCTTGCGAAACGATGCTGAATAAAGGAGGTAGGAACTTTTGCACCTACGCCAGCTACGGCGCTCCGTAGAGCCTCCGCCGCACTAGCCTCCGTAGTGCCAGGTTCACGGGCCCGGCCACTAGCGGCGTTTCGAAAAGGTCAAACCGCCGGTGATACCGTACCGTGTGACTGACTTCTTCGTGTCACCCTGACTCTGACTGAGTAACTTACTGTCCGATCATCGGATCGGACTCCGGCCGGGACTCCCCGAGTCGAACAGCGGCGCGGCGGCGCCACTCCCGGGCCACCGGGGCCGGACCAGACCGGGAGTTTGAGACGTCGGACCGGGTTTACCATAGTAGCAGGCCGGGCTCGCCGGATCGGACTGCAGGCTCCAGGCTGGGCCAGCGGAGGCTCAGGGGAATCCGACGGCCGGCCCCGGCGGCGCCGCGCCGCGGGTCACCGGGTCACACACTCCGGCTTGCTGTTGGTAATGCGGCCGGGCCGGGCGGCCGGCACTCAGTGACTTACCGTAGCGGCCGCGCCGGCGGCGCGTATCCTCAGCCCCCGGCCCGCGCGCGGCGCCCGGCCGCGGCCGCCTGTCCGGCGGACAGCCGGCCCCGCTGCGGCCCATCAGTGTATCCGCCAGCCGCCGGGTGGCATCGGCGCCGGTCACACCGCCGTGACTCCGAGCCTCCGGGAGATAAATTGTAGTTTTAGCCTTGGCACGTCAACAAGCCATAAATCTATTTTATTCGAAACGATGATTTTTATTTTTTGGCATACAACGAAACGTTGCTGGAAGGAAACGGTGTGATCTTGATATATCAAGTAAACATGACTGCAAATCATTCCTGCTCGTGACTTGAAAGTTCCCCAAGGTTTTTTTAGACTACAAGTCGAAATGCTTGTGCATGGTGGTCGAGCCTGTCAACACTTGCCATCACGTGCTAAAGGGCGTAGATGATGTTGTTGATGTTATAACAAGCAAAACATACTCATAAACTTGAAATGGGTAAAATGCTGCAATAGAATGCCATGATGTACGTCAACGTTTGGTGAATACGCATCTACAGATTTTGAAACGATACAATAAATGATATTTATCGACTTGATCTTTGCGAATTTCAATGTTTTCACAACAAGTACATGCGAATTATTCGTAGGCAATACCCGAGTATAATCTCGAAGGCAATGTTAAGTTTATACAGTCTGAAATACAAAACAAGAGAAAGGGAACATGGTTTGCGAGCACCTCGATGCAGTGAAAGCCACTTTTATGCCAGGCTTGTTGTGCTAACACCACATTTCCTCTTGCGAGGGATGCCCTTGTTCGTGTAAGGCCATCGCTGGACCCCTAATCTTCTGCAAATAACTTTCATCGTGCTCTTCCCTATCCCCTACAAGGATCAAGTTAGCAAAAAAAAATGATTGATCAGGGAGAAAGGTGGAGCAATGATGAAAATGATTGATCGAGAAGAATCACTCACAAGTTTGAAGGCGGCGGAATCGATGGACTCGTGAAAGTATTGCTCAAGCATTGACCTCGTAATGATAAGCTTCCTGGTCGGCTCTGCTGAGTTGCTGCATTTGACACGAACTGCCACGCCTTCATCCGAACTTGGTTGTGATGTTGACGACGCACACTCATTACCGCTGAAGTTTGAGTCTGGGCTTGAGACTGCCTCCAGCGACAACTTCAGAGTAGGATCGGTATGTGTTTGATGCAAGTGCTGGAAGTCATTGCTCATCTCAATTTCTAGCATGAAGCTGTTAAAATCAAAGCCAGGCTCAATAATAGGGCTATCCATAGGGAGCATCTCGGCGTATGATACCATTGCAAGCTTTGACAGGTCTTTGGGATCCAGAGAAGTCGCGAGAAGTACAGAGAAGTGCTGAGGAGATGAGGGGGATGTTGAGGCAACGAAAGATCAAGCAAGGCGCTCAAAAAGGTGCAGAAGGAACGGAAGTGAAGAAAGGAGAGCTAGAGAAAGGAAGATCAGAGTGGGGCTCTTGGTCGAGGACAATGTGGAGAGCAGGAGGGGCGAAGGGGTTCAGCAAAGCCCAGACGAATGGAGTCTTATATCGACTGGGGCAGGGGAGACATGTGCTGAAATGAAAAAGAGAGTTTTCATCGCTCGCACGACAACAGTAACAGCCATGATATTGTAGCCTTTCGGGAATTGCACGTCGTACTCAGGTAAAGAAAGTAAAATTCTCACCCTTTCGATCAACTTCCGGTCATCATTCGTCCTAAGACTGGAATCCAGATCGGTTCAAAATGCACGTCAACCTTAAAAGTGTTTTTATTGTTACACCACGGCAAAAACATTGTAAACAAGATATATCTCCGTGACCGTCGCTAGGTCAGGTTACCTTGGTAACCTGACCATCGTTGGCCGATAACGTGACTATGAAGAGACCGCATCTCTGACTTCTCGAGAGCTTACCTCTTGACATTTCCGTTTGGTCTGTACCCAGATGTATTTCCTGGTACAAAATAGTACCAGAAGTTCAGTGAAGTGTATTTTAATTATGTGCGGTGTGAATCATCGATTCACACAAACTCCTGTACCAGAAAAAGGGACAAATTTTTCATGGCAGATTTTAATAAACCCCTAATAAAAATGGGAAGTCCCTATAGCTGTTAATTAACCCTATGGCCCTTTCACGTTGGTGTAGGAACTGGTCCTCCCCTTCCGTCCCCGACGATTTACCATCCCGCCCCCTCCCCTACCGGACAACCCACGAGTTATTTCCGCTGTAGGTCATGTTTTTCTTTCTCGATCCTCCTCTTCCTCCCTCTAGAATCCTCTTAGAATGTCTGTATGCTCGAGCTCCCAATGAACATCCTTGGACTGACTAACAGCCCCGATCCAGCCGCATATAATCTTCCTCTTTTGTCGTTTCCTTCTTTTTCTTATGGGTCTTGGATGTTAGTATTATCCATGCAACTGTGGCGTGTTGCTTCTGCTTCTTGCTTTTCTCCTTGATGTCCTTTGCGCCCCGATCATAACCTTCGTTCATTTCGCCAAATAGAATTTGTTTCTTGCATTCGCATCATAGCGTGCCGAATAAGCCAAAATGTGACTATGTTCCTCCTCGTATCTCAGTTGCAAAGGTTTTATTGAGAGAGATGATCATTAATCTCTTGTGAATGCTGTTGTTGCATGAGAATTCTGCTAGACTCTCGAAAGCCCTCTCCCCCTCCGCCATGCACGTGCAACGACAATTTGCTCAACTTCTAGCAGGTTGAGAACTTTTCGAAGCGTTCTAGATGCGGGAAAGAACGTAAGAATGTCTTCCGTGGATCGGTTCCTTGCTTCCTCCCAACCTGTCCTACAAGAAGAAGATATCGACCGGATCTTCGAAGAGCAGGAAGCCGAGGACCACAACAGCAGCGACTCGCTGTCCTCCGCAGAGACTGCCATCACCATAAAGACTCGGAACCACAGGGATGGCAAGGCAAAGGTCGTGACAGTCACCCGAGAACTTCTGGAACAGCACTTCCACCAAACGATAGAGGAGGCTGCGGCCAAGATCGTGAGGTGAGGTGAGGAGGAGGAGGAGAGCTGACTTGCTGGGCAGGGGCTGGGGAAGTCGACTCTGAAGATGGTGTGCCGCAAGCTCGGGGTTGAGAAGTGGCCGTACACGAACAAGGGCGTTCCTCGCTCCGCATGCAAGTCAGCGGGAGGAGGGAAAGGGGAGAAGACGGAGGGTGCGAAGAGTGAGAAAGACTGATAACCGTTGAAAAGACGAGTCTCCAATGGCAGATCACCTGCACCATCATCATGGGGGGAGAAATTGCCAGATCGTGGAGAAAGATAGGGAGACAGAGAGATTGGAGGACAGAGGGAATGATGAAATGGGGTTGAAAAGTTGGCATGTGCGCGATTGGCAGGAAGCTCCTGATGGATTTCTGAACAAGAAGCATGTTTATGTCCTTCAACAGTGCATTACTTGATTGATTCGATTCGTTCGTTAAAGCGAGCAAGTTGAAATGAAACAGAAGTGTTTCCTTTTCTGCTCGATGACAAATCATGACCCATACCTTCCCCATCTATCCTTCTCTTGATCTGACTTCCACTACTGTATTCTCCCTCTCGCCCTGGATCTCTCTCGTATCCGAGTCATTCCAGTCATGTTGACAAGTATTACTCTAAACATCTCTTCACGATCATGCTCAAATCGTTCGGCCGAACGCTAGATAAGCCAGCAAGTCCCAATCGTCACCAATCTGAATGCATGAGGTCGAGCATACTGGGGCAGCCAATCAACCGATGTCTTCTGTTTTGATCCTGCAAGTCTTTTGATCGCCTGATATGTGCGTGTGTGCCGTTGGTTTTTGCGGTGATGATGGGTTCATGTATATTTGAGCAATGCTGGTGTGTTTGTTAGTATTTACTTAAATATCACATGCTCCAAAGGAGACACGGTAATATTACACACACCAATCGGTCCTGCACGGGCACACAATCGTGCCGACAACTTGTCCATCGTTAAAAATTTAGCGCACCTACGAGAGCAAACCTCTGATCCTCCTCCATTGACCTCCTCGCTCTCCCACGCACATGTCACTCATCTCTACTTTCTTCCTGCAGCAAGGAGTTGTTGTTGCTGCGACTGACGCAAGGTTTGTTCCAACTTCACAAGGGCCTTCTTCTTCTCCGTCCTCTTCTTTCCCTTGTTGGTGTAGGGCCACTTCTTCAGCCCGAGTTTCCGGCACACCACTTTCATCGTGGACTTGCCGATCCCCTGCGAGTCCCAAGAGAGTCAGCGAGAGGAGCAGGAGGAGGGGATCAACTTACGATCTTGGCTGCAGCTGTTTCAAGCGTCTCGTGGAAGTGAGATCGTAATAGCTTCATGGTGATGTTCACTGGAAGCCCGGATGAGTGCTTTCCTTGCCGTGATTGGATCAATATGCTACTAGCCGCCACAGCCCTCTTCCTCTTCTCGAGTGTAGCCATCGGCGCCGGCCAAGGCTGGGAATCATCTGAAGAAGAGGAAGAAGAAGAAGAGGAAGAGCTGTTGAAAACTCGATGGAAAACTTCACTTTCTTCCTCTTGTACAGCTGCGTTCAAGGGAGAGCTCTGCCGCACATCAAGGTGCTCAAAATCGGGGCAGCTTTGAAAGAGCTCTTCCTTATCCTCTTTTTTGCTCTCAGGTTCTTGGCTCGTCTCTGGAATGTAGCTCGTCTCTCCATGTCGACCAGCATGACTGTCAACATCGACATAATCATCTATCAACTTGGTAAAGAACTCGTCTTCCACCGCATCCCCTTCGAACAATGAAGAGAAACTGCCCGTTTGAGAGACGCAAAGCATCTATGAGCGACCAGGAGGACAGGAACTCAGGGCTTGTCTGCTAGACTGTCAGAGGTTAAGAGCTGATGCTATGAAAGGACGGGGGGAGGCGGGGGGGGGAGAGGAGAGCTGAGACGGAGTAGACGAGGATCGAGAGAAAGAGAGGGGAAGGAAACGGAGGAATAGGTGTATAAAACTATTGTAATAGGCAGTCAATCTCACTCTGAATGATTTATTTCTGCATCGTTTCATATAAATAAATCATTTTAAATTCAGCAGACAATCTGAAATCACAACTCTTAGTGAATATATATTTTAACGCATTTTCCGAGTGGCTCCCTAATCTTTAGTTTATTCCCAACTCCTCATGCAAGCCAGGTTCGCCTCAGGATTGTTTTATGAAAAATTCCTACGGCAGAGGACCCGAAGGCCAAATATTAGGCGCTTAGGGACGGCTATTGACTACTCATAAGCCGGCCATCCGGCGATCATCGGATGCCATGATGATCGGCCCGCGCGGGTGCGTGACAAGCCGCTGAGCTTGGCAAACGCCGCATGTTTTCAGACGGTCACGCACGGTGTGGAACTCAGTAACTCAGTGACTTTCATACGCCCGGGCCAACAGCCCGTCACGGCCCGGCGGCGTGGCCGCCCCCACCGTTACGCCCGGGCCCGGGGGGTACAAGTTCCGAGCGCCCTCCGTTCAGCGCGGCCCGGGCCGGGCCGGCCCGGATTCAAAACCGAGCAGCCTTTGGGCAACTTCCTCCATCTCACCCCCCCCCCCAGCCCCCCCCCCTTGTTTCCTTCTTTGTTCTCCTCCCTCCCCCCCCTCATCTCTCCCCCTCCTCCGTTTCTTCCTCCCCTTCGTCTCCTCTCTCTCCCTCCGTTTCTTCCTCCCCTTCCTCTCCTCTCTCTCCCTCCGTTTCTTCCTCCCCTTCCTCTCCTCTCTCTCCCTCCGTTTCTTCCTCCCCTTTCTCTCCTCTCTCCCCCTCCTCTGATTTTCGCTCGCTCTTCCTGTGCCTCAGACCTTCTTTCTGGTTCTTTTGTTGCCTCCGAGGGCCTCAAGGAAGTGAGCGAAACATCACGAAGATGGTAAGATTGGTGGAACATGCCGCACCGCAGCATGCAGCAACAAAGGGCAGGGGGAACAAGCACGTCGGGGTAGGAAGGAAGAAGTTCTTGACCCTTCTGCTCTTGTTCGTCGCCTTCCTCTTCGACGGTGTTGGCTCTTGGAGCCTTCACTCCTGCCTGTCAAGACCGACAAGGAGGATTGGATCATGCAAGTGCTCAAGAACAACTTCTGCTGTGACCGCCATGCTGTCAAAACCGTCCTGGGGGATGAAATTGGAGCGAAGTATGGTAGCAGGAGGAGCGGGGGAGGGAGAGGGGGAAAGTGAAAGTGGAGAAGGGCGCGAGGATGCGATCTTTTGCGGAGGAGAGAGGATCGGGTTCATGCGAGCAGCATTCGGAGTTTATGAGGAGGTGGAAGGAAAAGTCGTGCGGGTAAACCCTCTTTGTGCAGACGGGGAGGTCAGAAACAAGGAGGAGGTGAGAGGGAGTATCGCCATGGTGCTAAGAGGAAGCAGCTCCGATGTCCCCTGCTCCTTCGTGGACAAGGCGAGGAGGGTGGGAGAGGCTGGAGCGATTGGAATGGTGAGAAGGGAGGAGCGAAGAGAGGAGGAGGAGGAGGAGAAGGAGGGGAGGGGACGAGGAAGGGAAGAGGAGGGAGAAGCAGTCTGACAGTAGAGCGCAGATCGTGGTGAACGATGAAGATAGCTTGATTTCCCCAGGGGACAGCAGGAGGGAAGGAGGAGACGTGGCTTTCCCTGTGGTGGGGATCAAGCTGATGGATGCGGAGAAGATGGAGGATAAGTCAACAGTTAGGATCACCTTCAAGGAGACAGACCAGTTCTCCCCTGCTCAGCGACGCTTCCTCCGAGCTGTTGCGATCTTCCGGGTGAGGACTAGGGAGGAGAGGGAAAGGGGAGAAGGAGAAGTTAGGGAAGGAGGACGAGGACGAGGAAGAGGACGAGGACGAGGTAGCAAGATGAGAGGACAACAGAAGTGTTCGAGTTGAAGGGTGGGGAAGATACAGGAGCAAGAGGAGGGGGGCAGGAGAAGGAGGCAGAGGACCAGAGTAACTCTGACGAGGTTTGTAGGACAAGCAGGGCGATCTTACGAGGATAGTCATCCCGAAGAGCGCGAAGACGGAGAACGTGCTGGAGGAGATAGAGGAGGAGCTGGCGAGGAGGGAGCTGGTCATAGCGAAAATGGAGCAGAAGGAGGAGGAGATGAAGAAAGTAACGCTGGATGATATCGAAGGTAAGGAGGAGGGGGACAGATTGCTATCTTCCTCCTCTTGTTTTCCCGCTCCACCATCAGCTCCTACTCTTCCTCTGCTGCTATCAAAACTCTTCCAGCCTTGCCGCGTTGCCCCTGTATAACCAATGCCTCCT